TGAAGATAGTTTTTTTGTTCCAAGAAGCCAAGTGCTGAAGCAATCTGTGTGAAAGAGAGAAAATCAATGAATATAAAATAATGAAAGTAACCCTTACATTGTGGATCAGACGACACAGAAAACGGTCAAGATTGCTAGAAGGAATGTCTCCCAGTAGATGCATAGTTTCGTAGAATTTCTTGACTGTTGTATCCATTAACTCCATACAAATGCACAGTTCACTATGATTCTGGAAAAAGAACATTATAATACAAAAGAGAGATGAGGTTTAACTCACTATATCAATCATTGCACCATGATAGTAAATGATATGTGGACAAACGCCAGAGGCCAATTCTTGCATCATTTTCAGTTCAGTGCGCCTTACAGAGGCTCGCTCTTCTTTTGTTGACAGTATAATGCGCTACAAATAAGACATTATTTTTTTCATATGACAATAGAGTTTTTTCGAAATTATTGATTAGTAAAAATCTGATGTTTCTTATACGTTGATAGACTTTCGAAAATGAGTGAAATAAAATTAAACGAGATTTTAAGTATCTGTACAAATTCAATGTCAATCAGATCGTTGAAAATATTTCTCCATAGAAGTTACTTACTTTGACGGCCATACGAACGTCAGGATGTCCTGTAATACTGACGCTATCCACCGAGCCAAAGTTTCCTTGACCGAGGTATCGAATGACATTAAAATCTTTCACGTTGACTTGGATTCTTCGGTTGTTATAGATGAGCTCGGCTGATTCTGGGGGCGCTTCCCATCTGAAAACACACTTCAACGAAAAAGAATTTAACTAATCAAGATGCCTTACATATATTGCTTTGACTCTTCCAACTCGTCGAGCTTCAATAAAGCGTTGACTTGGCTTGCTAAAACTAAATAACATACATTATATTTTAAGTCGATGTCCAATGATCAATTTCATAATTGATATCCTCGAAATATTATTCTTTGAGTTCTTACGATAGATATGGCCAACAGAATAACTCGTGAATTGATGTTTTTGTACAGAAAATGATCATGAAAACATGTACTAAGCTGAAGTTTTAATGTTCTGTCCTTAACGTAAAAAAATATGCTAAATACGATTATTTGCTCTTAAAAGATTAAGAGATTCAATAAGTACCCGAGTCAAAACATTAGTTTTGTCAAGAGCTCTATTATTTTAGAATCAGAAAGAACAATAATCATCAATCTTTTTTATGATACATCACATGATAATGGAAATCTCTTCATAAATATCGAAATAGACGATTATTTTTTAGTTGAAAATCAATTCTATTGAAAAGTTTTTGACATGATAAGAATTTAAATTGTCCTATTGAAAGGTGAATCTATTTAACGTATTCAATCAAATAAACCGATCATTGATAATGAGTCCTTTTTTTTCAATTAAAATAGTTTTAAAATATCAATTAGAGTCAAATTAACTAAGTCTATTTCTGCTTCTAACTCATCGACTTTAAACTATCTCAAAAATAATATGTGATTTTAATGGGTTTTTTTTCCAAGAACAATAAATAAAAATCGGATTGTCAACATTTTCTAACAGATAAATAGTAGAAATCTATAGCTTAGCATTATAATCCTGAAAATACAGCCGAGAAAATTCTTACTTTTCTTTCGAGTCCTGGCTTTGATCGATATTTTGTCTGATTGTGTCTTAACATCAGTGGTAATTGGTTGAGTGGTACCAAATTTGTTGGAAACATCTGCAGCTAATAAACATAAAACAAGTTAAGATGTATACATTCAAATGTTTATGCAAGACTTTTCTTGTAAACTTACCATATTCAACAGGTTGTTGAATCTCACGATCGATGATCAATGATGCCGCATCCATTGGTACAAGTTGCAAGTACTCATTTCCATCATTATCAACCAATGGGTTTACAATTTGTATGTCATCAGCTAAAAATCAGTAATGTACACATGAATTTTTTTCACAGTGAGTTCTTGATAAAAGAACTTTGATTTAAGACTTACATAGAAAAGCCGCTTGCAAATATAGTTGTTCTTCTTCCATTAATGTTTTATTTTGATCTGGTTCACTAACATTTTGATCTTCCGTGCATTTTTCTTTATCTTCATCGACGGAAGATTGCCCGTCTCGAACATAGTCCATATTATTCATTGTGTGTGTAGTGTATTAATCTGAAAATGACAACCTTCGTTAAATATGGAAGTGCTCTAGCATTATTTTCATTTAGCTGGATGTAACCGTTGTAAAAATACAAGCAAATAATCGCTTATGATCATCAATTACTTTTTTCATTGAACTGTTACAAAATGATGACATAAACCTATATCAATTCTAGTCAATGTTGATCATCCTAATTACTTAGAATTGGTGTATATTCAGAAAAATTATTTCAATTATTTGTTGGGTTCGTATTTATGGAAGTAAAGACTTGATTGACTCTGATGATCGATCGGAAGAATTTTGCTAAAACTGGCTGGATTTCATGGGAAGCAAGGAGGAAACTAGAGCGACTTTTTGGAAATTCTAAAGCAGAAAAACCAAAAAAGCTTCTTGAAGTCCTGTAACCAAAAGCGAAAAAATTTTAAGATCAAAGGAGATCTAACCAAAACCGACTGTTCGAGTGATATCGATCGAATAGTTTATATTATTGTCTGGAAAACTATTCACAAATACTGAAATCTTTAAAAGTGAAGCATGAGCGAATTTGATTTAATTTTTTGACTACGATTAACCAGAATTCTCGTTCCGAGGTTTTGAGCTCTGAATACCTTTCATAAATATTATGGATTTATTATTAAATGAAATCAAATGCATGGATTATTTATCTTTATGATATTTGCACGGTCATGATCAGTTACCTTATGACTGTCAGTGTCCCTTCAAAAATAAACATTGATTGAGAATTTTGGAAATTTCCATTTTACTCAAAAACAGATTGATCACATTCTCAATGAGTCAAAGCACTATTTTTATTTATTAAGCGAAGAGAAATATCTCTTGAAAATTTGACAATGTTAATTATTAAAATTATTTCCATTTAGATCGTACATTGTGCAGCATTTTCTTATGAAGAGGAGAAATCGATGAATACTTTACCTCTGACTTGACAAAAAGACGTTAAATGATACGTTATCGACAGATAAGAAAAATAATTCACTTATTCACACGCACAGTTATGTACACCTTATCAAAATGACAGCGAAGTTATGTTCTCTACTTCCTTGCAATCTGTGAATATAACAATTCAAGATGTAAGAAAAAACCATGATTGCACAATTACATGGCAGTCTATCAATAGGCATAAAAAGTAAGCGTCAAACGAAAAGAAAATTTATACGAATAAATCTTATTTGAAACAAAAAAAAGGTAATAAATAGTCGAAGCGTGTTGGTTGTTTCCAATCTTTTACTCATTCTGCAGAAAGATGAAATTTTTTTAAATGAATCATCTATTAAATTTCTATGGCTTTTAAAAAAAACAACAGAAAGGAGCGAGTGTTGGGATTTTCCGTTCTGCGCTTGCCGAGAACACGACAAGAACGCATGCATATGTATTTTTTATTTCATTTATTCTGTTTCTCTGTTCACTTTTTCATTCCTACCTATTTTTTTTCTGATGTATATTTTACCTGTGAGTGTGTGTGAAGCTTTGAGTAGGCATCACATCCTTCTAATAAACTTCTAGAGTATTCAGCCGAAATATATTTTTCAGCGACGGATGTATTAACACAGTTCATTCGCTTTTGTCAAAAATGTTTCTGAAATGCTTGAAAATTGATGTTTTTTTTTTAATGTTTGATTTAAACAACAATAAGTTAATGCATATTCAAGATTCTTAAGTCGAGAAAAGTTCAGCAAGATGCTAAATCATTTTTGTTGTAAATTCAATCGTGTGTTTATTATTAGTTGTAACCAACTCGTATTGAGTGTGGTGAATTGATTATCTACTCCAAATCCTGCATTCTCTTTTCTTCTTTCAATCCATTTTTATGTTGATTCATTCGATGATTAATATCAAAGTAAGTTCAATCGGTGTACACTTTTTGGCATTTCATAAAGGTTAATATTCATAGGACTCGGATTTTTACAAATAATTCTTATGAATACTCAAATACAAATCTATGACAACAATTGATTTTATATTATGCATCATGTAAATTCATGGAGTTTTGTAATTTACTCCAAAAAAAGATTGGCGCCACCATGAACACTTTTGATATAAAAAGAAAACCTTTTGTTTTCAATAAGAATTCGATTTATTTGAAAAAGTACACAGATAAGAAAAAAAAAAGATTTCTATGACCGATTGGTATTGATCCCATTAGAATCTATGCTTATTCGTTGATTACTCTGACGCTTCGAAAAACCACTATTGATGGAATTTCGTTCAGTTTGATTACTCAATAGAGCATAAAATTGAAAAGAAATAATTATACTCTTGTCATCTTGGTAGAAATATGAAGCTAAATGGTACGAATGTTCTTTTATAAATGTTTTGTTTTTAAGTATTTGTTTGGCGATGAAAAGAATATCTCCATGATATTTTGCATTAAATCTATTTGCAGATTTTATTTATGTTCTAATAGATGTCCGAGTATTTTTTTAAGTGTACACTCAATATGATAAAAGATAAGACTTATTTCTTGTTTGTATTTGAATTCTTTTTTATATAATTAGAATTTTCTACCATATTCGATACATAGCTTACTAAAGCGTGAAAATGATCTTAAATATCTCAAGTATTTCCTTAATTAACAGTCAGACAAATTTTTCTTTTATATGAATCACGTGATTGATCTTACTTTTTTGATCTTTTAATGACTTCTTTGATCGCATCTTTTACTTGAGTTAGGTTGTTAGGAGAAGGTTGATGGTATTGTGCATTATAATGTATTCGATCAATGCCTTCTTCAACTTCACTAGGTACATCAGAAACAAGCAATTCAAGTAGATAAACAGTCAAATAGATAATATTTTCAAAAACGATCATAAATACTAAACGCACAGCAATAATATGCTAATAAAGTGACGTGTGAGAATAGTTCGGACTAGTTGGTTCTCGAAAATCACGATAGCTTTAAAAAAGAAGAAAACAAAATTTGTTCATCAATATAATTAGACAATAATTGAATGCTATTCTCACCAACAATAAGTCAGATTCAATGGAACATCTGGATTCATTGTACCTGTTTTATTGTAAGCATTAATCGGAAACGAAGAAAGTGTCCAATTGATATAACCACCAAGACTTGTTCCTGTGTTTTCTATTACCTGATAGGCTAATCTTGGTATAAATTCTAATGTCCAAGCAATGACCGCCGCCTAAAACATAATACCAAGTTAAATAGATTAGTAGAAAATTTCTATTCACATTTGTCATCACAGCTAAATAAGAGATCATTGAAAGAGTATCGGTCCATACGCCAATGTTTGCCGCTTTACATAGAGTAGGTCGACGATATTTTGTTAAAAATTTCCAGGCATCACATCGAAGTTCCAATAGATTATTTAACAATGCAAATAATGGTGCTAATCTGTTTTACATAAAAACAAATTCTTAGAAAGAAACATATAAACTTTACTTACGAAAAAACAGCAACAAATAATGTTACAAAACCAAACTGCATAGCTTTGAATTAATGAGAGTGATATGTTAATGGAAACAAAACTATATTCTGTTTTTCTTTTCTTACTCATTTCAAGATATTCAGGTATGAGCATTTGTCAATCAAATTCGTTCAATTCATGGTCAATTTCCCATTGACTACTTTTTTTATATTTTTACACAGATTTATACTACACAAACATGGATAACCATTTTTGATTACATTATTGATGATCTGTTTGCCGAACATAACTAGAACACAAAAATAATATTCTCATCAATAGACTTAAATCCTCTACTTACTGATCAATAGTTGAATGGAAGATTCAACCATTCACCCAGCGGGATCACACTAAATGCATTACATATACTAACTTGAGGTACAAGAAATGACTGGTTTTTGAATGTCATCATTTTATCACTCAATAGATTATGTTAACAGAACACAATATAGTACAAGATGCGTCATGAAAAGCTCTACACTTTACAACAACAGCTTATTTTATATATGCATGAGTTGTTTTAAAAATGGACAAAACATCTATGCCACTAATTTTCAATGCTGTAAATCGATATGAAGCAGATGACTTTGATGACATCAACTACGAAACCAAATATCTAAACAGAATTATGATGTGATTAAGTGTTTTAATGTTTCGAAATTTCCTTAAAATCATGATTTATTAGTTAATGAACTAAGAAATGAAATTTACTGTGTGATAGAAATGATATTTTAAAGCTTTCTACGCTGCATCTTGTGGTATCTTTTGCTTTTTCTTTAAATAAAATATAGTGATTAATGAAAAGATAAAATGCAAAATATGACCATTCATTATCATCGATCTCTGATTGAATTTATTTTTGGAAAATAACCATTATTAATCTAGTTCATACATAAACTATGAAACTCGCTAATAAAATTAATTCTACAAATGAAATATTAGCCTGTAGAGTACGCTAATGTTATGAAGAAAATCCATCGGTTGTCTTGCTCTTTGTGTTTGGATATATTTTTAATCTGATAACAATTTTAGTTTCTCTAATCATTAAAAGTATTTCGTCTATAATAAATATAATTTCAATTTTTCATGTGATAAGCTTGAAAAAGTTCAAATCGACGCAAGTTTTAGTTCTGTATAAAAGCAAATCACTGATATCGTTTAGTAATTGATGAAAAATTCACTGAAAATAATGTAAAAAAAACAAACTTGTTCGTCAAAATCATTTGTTCTTTGTGAACCATACGTAAAGCCACCGACACATTAGAAGACCCGGGGTCTTCTATTCTGTCTTATCGCTCATAAGTTACAAAGGGTCCTCTATAATGTCCCCTAAAAAGTTATATTTTTCACTAGCCTTTCCAACAAATTTTTGTTTCAGTTCAATTTTGTTCTACATAATCGTTAGAAAAACAGTATTTTACTTATTCGACATGTGTATGAGGAGATAGTAACAAATTTTATCCTGTGAAAAAAAGAGTCTATCATTGATCATAAATATTCTTAGAATATTAAAGGAAACGTATCCGAACACTTTGGTAAAATGTTCACTAACAGTCTTTTTTCTAAAAAATAAGATCTGCCATTGAACAAATTTTAACTACTCAATAACTAAATAACTCAAAAAGAATTAACTTCTTTTATCAAACTCAATTAAATTTATTGTTCTTGTTTATTTTTGACTAGTATTAATGGACTCTGTTCACGTCAAAATCTACTAATAGCATATTTATAAGTCTCAAACCAACGTCAATGAATACATTTGTATTAAGAATAAGCAATTAATAAAGAAAGAGTAGTTGGATACACATTTTGTGTTTTCTTCTTGGTCTTTTTTTAAAAATTGACTTCAGGTTTTATTGAGAATAGAAATGCGGTCTGAGTCTCATGAGAAGTAGTTACAAAAAAACCGATGCGTATTAGAGACGAAAACCAAATGGAGTTGTCAAATGATCTTATTCGATTGAATTTGTTTGAGGCGAACTGAATCCGATCGAAGATGTTGCCGAATTGAGATTTTCTTATTCGTTTCTGTCTTGAGCGTATATCCATGAGTTCACGTGTTTTTCAATTATGAAAGAATCCTTTGTGATGAATATGTTTCAGAATTTCTAGAAATCCCAGATAATGAGGCTTTTTAATTATTAGGCAATGAAGTTTCACCTAATATGGTATTATTTTACAAAGTTTAATTTTTCTCATTTCAATTTGAAAGTAAACGAAAATTCTATAATTAAACGCCATTTTTAAATATTGCACTCTAGAAATTTTAAACGACGTAAACATGAAACTCTCTTTAAGAACTAATTTTTTCCTATGAAGCTACTCGATAACTTCTTTTGATATAGACCAGTTCTAATTGCTAATTTTCATATGATCAAATATTCAGTCAACAAACCCTAATCACATTGTCACTCACATCCTCCTTTGCGAGTAGAAATACCTATTCGTAAACGTTGATTCAAGACGAGAGAAATAGTGTTTCGTCATTCCTTAGTCAAGCCCTTTAAAACAACCTTATTCTATTTGTTACTGTTAGATAAGAAACGACTGAAGATTATTCCTCAATTGCTATACACAAATGACTACTTGACGTTGTCTTCTTCTTATTCATTTTCTTTTCTTCTCTATCTGTTCTTCTATTTCATCTTTCGTCAATATATGCCTTATCTTCTTCTTTTTTCGATATTCGTCTTCAAAGAAAGGAGAAGAACACGATTGTTGTTTCTTTCTCTCTTTTGGTATAAATTCTTTTTTTCTCGATAAACTATTCATTCATTTTCGCTTCTAGAGGCGAAGAAGTAGTAGCCCTAGAGAATATACTGAGTTAAGGGTACCCAAAAAAGTACCCTGATACCAGTATGTCACAGGAACTTTTGGGTACCAAAGTACTTGCAGGTACTTACAGGTACCTAAGTGGTACTATGGCAAGTACCCTGCTGGAGAATGCATAGTAATTGGGTACCTAAAGGTACTGATCAAGTACTGAATTGAGTACCATTGTATAGTATTTCTAAGTACCCTGTTACCAAATTTTCAGTATGTTCAGGATCGAACCTGATCTTTGACTTTTTAAAATTTTTTCTTTTTCTTGAGATAATTTACTAGATTTTTTTTTACTTTATTCAATTTAATTTTTTCAATTCTACAAACTTAGCAGGAACAATGTCGGGATCCGACTCAACTTGAGTTGGTCGTAGACCACTTCAGGGTAGTCCGATCTTAATTTACAACCAAGCTCGGCATTTCCTCGACTAAGAAATAGTCAAGAAATAATTTAGAAAAAACTAGTATGAAAATTGATTATTTTCTTATGATTTATCGAGTTATTTATATAGAGCCGTACGTAAAAAAGAAAACGGTGAATGAATAGTCGCCATACAGAACGCGAAAAATTTAGGATACCCTGTCGAGATTTCCTCAGTAAAGTTACAGACTTGTGTATCCATGCAGGTACTTATTCAGTAAATGTACTTTTACGGGTACTCCAAACAGTACATACATCAGTAAAATTACTGAGAATTTTCAAAGTACACATACTGGGTACCCTGCTAGAGCTTTCTCAGTACATGGGTACCCTGAACTCAGTACTTTCTCTAGGGAGTGCTTTAGAAAGTGACATATCAGTTTGTCCTTAGCACAAATATTTGTTTGATAAGCATCGAGATTCAGTTAACAGTGCCTTCAAATGATCGCTACATGAAAAACTAGGAACTCTTTTCATAGCCAGGCAATTACTGACATTATCAATACAACGTCATTTCCCAAGTAAGAATGAAATCACGAAAAAATATTGTATTGATGTTGCAGAAATTGTTGTTCAAAGTTACTCTATAAAATAGATGCTGAGATCACTCGTAGTATGATCGAATGTTCGAAATAATATCCTATGTTGTGGTGCCATTCAGCACATTATTTATTAGGCTACTCATTAGCCACAGAGAGCAGTAGTAAAGCATAATAATAATAATTCATTAACACTCACAGTAAAATTAGCGCCATTTTGCAAAATACAAAATGATAATGCAATTTTGAACTTCTAATTAAGATTGATAAAAACAGTGAGTTTCAACAAGTTTTTCCTGCATCGAACTTAACAATCGAAGGCAAAATTTTACAAAATTATAAAGCAAAACTATGGAAAATCGAACTCACCCCAACATATTCACTGAAGATGCCAACAACAGTGTAGCTTCACCATTTCTACGTACTGAAGTAAATCTCAATGATGATGATTTGAGTCAAGAAGCCAAAGCACAATTTGGTTACCATACAGAGATCTTGCATGCATTTCAACTAAACGCTCGCAACGTACTCGCCAACGATGGACTACCACCGATTGGTCGTCATCTATTTTGTATTAAGCTGGAACAAGATTACATGAACTGCAAACGAGTGCTCAACTACGTTGCCAGACAAATGCAGCTGAAACGAGCAGTGCACCTGATGCCTCCGATATTTTTCATATGTGGTCTGCCTCGCACAGGCTCAACTCTCCTCTTCAATTTGCTTGCCTGTGATCCAGCATGTCGGGCGCCTCTGGCAGCAGACATATTCTATCCAGTTCCACCATTGGCACTTTCAGATACAGCTGGACATGCACGACGCGCCATCGAAGCAGACACGTCTAGCGAAATGTTCCGAGCGATCGGATTGAACGACTACGAACGACAATTACTTGGCAGTCATCCTCGCTATGCGCACGAGGAAGATCTGTTTCTTCTTTTTCAAACTGGTGTCAACTTTTTGAATACACTACTCACATCTCGTGATAATACAGAACTTTCAGAATGGTTTTTCAACGATACAAACAAGGACTTTGCATATGAGTATCACAAAACGTTTTTACAAATGTTAAATGATGTTGATACACCTCGGTCTCATTGGCTTTTGAAATCTCCGACCCACACGTTCTTCCTTGATACCCTTCTACGTCACTATCCATCCGCATCACTTATCATGACCCATCGTCGATTGGACGAAGTGCTGCCATCGTCTGCTCGCTTTGGTATTGTGTCAAGCA